AAAGCTATAGAAAGTTAAGTTTATACTAGATAAAGCTTATAAAGGATTATAAAGAGACCTATTAGCTAAATAACTAAAAATAATAAAGATATATAATAAGAACTTACTACTAAACTTAAGTTATTTAATATAATATAAAGAGGAGAGTTAAACTCTATATTAGTAGAGTGTTTTTTAGAATTAGTTAGTAGCTAGAACTTATAATAAGCTAGAAGGTATTACTCTTAAAGCTAATTAGTATCTTTAATTATAATAAAGGGAAGCATAAAAGACTTATTAGTTATTAAGAACGTAAGCTTTATAAACCTAAAGTATAATAATTATTTACTTAAGGGATAATATAGATAGGTTATTAATAAAGAAAGGAAATACTACCTTAATAGCCTATAAAAGAGATATAAATAGATAAATAAGTAAAGTAATTAAGGCTACTAATTTAATAATAATTATACTTACCCTCTTACTTTAAGCTTTAATTTACTTTAATAGCTATTTTTTATCTTATCTTTAATAAAATAAGTAATTATAGCTACTTACTTATATCTATAAATTACTAACTATTTTACCTATAACCTTTACTTATAAACTTTAAGTAAATAACTATATAATTACTATTTATATCTATAAACTATTACTAAATAATTATTATATTAATTACTCCTACTTTCTCTATCTTCTAATATACTTTCTATATACTACTCTAATACTACTCTTTCCCCCTCTCTTTCCTTATCTTACTACCTATATATTATACTAAAACTAATTATATCTATAAAGTATATACTAAACCCTTCTTAAGAACTATTATATCTTTACTTTTATTTAACCTAATTAGTATAATATCTATCTAAGAAAAAGCCTTTACTAAAAACCTTATATAGGCTTATAAAACTAAGCAACTTATTAAATCTAAGTAAACCCTTAGAATTCTAACCTAATTATACTTTTAAGTTAATTATAAGAAAGATAAGTTAATTAAATATATTAATAAAGTAGCTACCTAACTAGAGCTTATATACCTTAATAATACCTCCTCCTCCTTTAATAAGAAACCTATCTTAGCGCTTATATAGCTATAACTAGGAGATATTAAGTTATAATAATATCTTTTAGATAGATAGGGACTAATAATAACCTACTTAAAACACCTATAGTTATATTTAAAAACACTTAAAAGTATTATAAGCACTTATAACTTCTAAGGTATTATTCTTATTACTACTATAGTAAATAGCAGTAATATTACTAAAAGCTTTACTATAGCTATATATTATATTAGCTAGAGAGTTAGGCTAGCTTTAGGATTACTTAGAGGCCTTTTATAAGCTAACTACCTTATAATTAAAGGTATATAATAGTACTACGTTACCCTTTTTACTAAATACTTCATAATACTATCTAATAAGATAGACTAAATATAAGCTAGAATACTACTAAACGCTATAATAGAGTAGATATTTATATATAATAACTACTAAGAAGATAGAGAAGCTAAAAACAAACTTATTATAATCTCTAGGAATATTAAGTACTTCTTTACTAACTTCTCACTATATTCCTAATAAACCCTATTCTAATAGCTTATTATCTTAAATATCCTATAAGTTAGTTCTATTTAGTATTCTAAAGTAATTATACTTAACTACTTTAGGTATTTTAATAACTTTAGTAACCTTAGTAACCTAAATAAAATAGTTAAGGATATATTAATAAACTAAGTTTAGTATATTATAGCTAAGTTTAGTAAGGTTCTATAGGATTATAAGTATAAGAGGTTTAAACTTTAAAAACCTACTAAAGAGCTAAGACTATTATAAGAACTAACTAGTTTACTTACTCTAAATACTATTATGAGGTATAAGATATTATATAATAAGTACTTAAAGCATATTAGCAAAAGAAAGCCTTTAAACCTATTAAGTAAGGAATAGCTAGTACTACTAGTACTAACTATTAGATTCACACTAGTAAATAAACCCCCTAGAAGTAGCTATACTATCTAAGCTTAAGATATAAGAGAGGTAGTTATCGCTAAGCTTAAAGTAGCAAGAGAATAAAATATAGCTATTTCCTATATAAGACACCTTTTATAATAATTCAAAAGAATAAAAATAATATATTAGTCGCTTTACTTTACTAAAAGTACCCCTTTATAGACCTAATTTATCTTTAGAAGTACTTAAAGTAGGCTTATATACCCTTATAGCCCTACTAAAGCTCTATAGCCTAGAGAAGTTAGATCCTATTAAGCTATAAAGTATTATAATAACTTAAATCCTAGCTTAAAGAGTTCTTTATAAACTTAATTTACTACTAGCTTTAATAATTTTAGAAGATAGGCTAGCTAGAACCCTATTATATTACTTAAAATACTAGTTAATCTATATAATACTTAAGGTATCCTCTATATAGAAGACTTCCTCCAAGTTAAATATCTTACTACGCTAGTACGTTTTATTATAAGAGATACCTACTATAAGGTTTAGATTTACCTACTAAATATTATATTATAAGATACTAACTAAGAAGAAGGAGGAGCTATTAATATAAACCTCTTTATAGATAAGTATAAGGATAACTTATAAAATTCTAATATAATTATATACTTCTTATAAGTTAAGTAAAGCTACTTTATCTACTTAATAGTAAACTAAACTAATAAGAAAAGCTACTTTATAAACTTAAGCTTTAGCTAGTAGAGTAACTAAGAGTTTATTAATACTATTAAAGCTTTTACTACTTAATATAAGCTACTTAAAGCGCTTAATAACCTAGTTATTATCCTACTATAACACGCTTAAGTAGTTAATTTAATATAATAACCTAATAATTATAGCTATAAAGTTTACTATATTAATTAGGTTTACTACTTTATTATAAAAAGACTCCTTAATACTTACTTTAATAATAATATTACTATTAATAAAAGCTTCTATTACTAAAACCCTTTTCTTCTAGTTAGTAAGTATAAGTTATAGATTACTATTAAATTTTATAAATATAAATTAATTTATAAAAATCCTCTATTCTACTTTATAATATAAATAATAGTAACTTACTTAAGTAAGATAGCTAAAAATAGAACTATATAGCTATCTCTAAAGTAACCCCCTAAGCTACCCCTATTAATAACCTTATCTTAAAGTTTTATAATAGCAGTTTTACTTCTATTAACTACTTTATCTCTATTAGAAAGCTTAGCTACTAACCTTCTAATCCTAAAAAGATATAGTAATTATAGTAAACCTATATTTATAACTCCTCACTATAAAAGTCCTATCCTACTATTATATAAGTCTTTAGCTCCTCTTTAAAGCCTTATAACTACTAGTAATTACCCTACTTACCCTCTTAAGTAGCTTATCCTAAAACTAGAAGTAATTAATTAAGTAGTATATATTAACTAATATATTAATCCCTAAGCTTAGATAGAGACTTATATACTACTTAAGACTTATACTTATAGATTTTTAAAACCTAGAGAATAAGAAGAATAGGTATACTATAGACTTAGACTTAAATAAAATACTACTTATATAAGAGAAGTAAGAGAAAAATAAAATTATAAGAATATATATTATAAGTTTTATTAGTAAGTATAATACTTTTATATATATATAAAGATATAAGGAATTATCTTCTAGCCTAGAAAGCTAAGAAAGAAGATAATTAAGGATAATTAGAATAAAGTTTAATAAGCTTACTAGATTTTTAGTATTTTTAGTATTTAAAAACTAAATTACTAGCTTCCCTTAAGGGGTAAGAAGTTAGCTTAGATATTATTATTATCCTTATATAGATTAGAGGCTTAATTTACTTATTTTTTAGTAGATTTTTAAGCTTTTTATTACATTCTTTTTAGTTTAGATCTATAAAGAATATAAAAAGTCTTTTCCTTTTTCTTTTAAGATTATAAGCCTTAAAACTATAGAGTTATGAAGTTATAGTAGCTCTATACGCCCTTAGGCGCGTAGGTGCTACTGCATTATATAGCTCTCGGCCGCCTAGCCTACGACCATTTCAGTATGTGTACTGCGCCAGCTGAAACTTGTATGGACTCGCTCTCGACGGCTATATCCCGAAAGTCATGACTCGGTGCACCAAAAGCGGCGTACCTATCTACTGTCTCGGAGTTACACTGATCTTTCCCTGCCTATCGTTGTTGCAACTATCGAACAGCGGTGCAACGGTATTGGACTGGTTGGTCAATATTCTGACTAGCGGCGGCCTCGTCAACTTCATTGTCATGTGCATTGTGTACTTACGCTTTTACAAGGCATGCGAGGCTCAAGGCGTAGATCGTACGACTCTGCCCTATCGCGCTTGGTTCCAGCCCTACAGCGCCTGGATAGCCTTGACCATGTTTTGCAGCATCGCGATTTGCAGTGGCTATACGACCTTTATCGGCGACTTCTCAGCTGCCACATTCTTTACTAGATATACTATGGTCTTGTTCGCGCCTGTATCGTACTGTGGCTGGAAGCTGATCAAGAGAACGCGAATCATTCCAGCCAAGGAGGTGGATCTGGTCTGGGAACGTCCTGAGATCGACGCGTATGAGGCAAATCTTGAAGAAGACAAATCTTCAGTCGTCAGTGCTGTGGGAAATATGCTTTTTGGGGGTTGTAAGAAGGGAGATGAGAAGGACAGGGAATCGCAAGGTTAGAGCTGAGCATCTCTTGGGGTCCTGATACTAAGACTACAATACACAAGACGACGTATCACTTCTCAGTTGGGTTTGAGGAGAAATAGAGATGATAACGAATTTCAGTAATGATATGAAACAGATTGCTGCAACATATTGTGATCCATAAGTGCATGAACAGTGTGCCAGAAATGATTAGCCCCCCTCGTCTTTCATCGACGCGCAAGGGCCGTACATTCATATCTCGCTGGAGATGGGAAGTAAGTTGAGTTGGAGACAGAGACCGTATAAACCACTACTTATTGTATTCAACTCACCCTTATGAGCAAGTATCTAGGCGGTAAATACATTCTGTTCACAACCGGGTTCCCATGTTCACATGAACCGCCTTGATGTTGGTGTAAGCGGCAATGCCAGCTTCACCTAGCTCCCTACCAATACCTGATTGCTTGACTCCACCGAAAGGGATGCGATAATCAGAATCATTGCTACTGTTGATCCATACCACTGTAGATTTCGTCAGTCAATGTTATCTGAGGAGCGAACCAAACTTACTTCCAGACTCGATCTTCTTCGCCAGGGCATGAGCTCGAGTAATATCCCTGGTGAACAGCGCTGCGCCCAGCCCATAGAAAGAATCATTGGCACGGCCAATAGCCTCAACTTCGGTGGAGAAGGAGCTGATTGCGACACAAGGGCCAAAAATTTCTTCTCGGTAAATCTTCATGTGGTCCTTCACGCCGGTGAAGACAGTCGGCTCAACGAAGTACCCCTTTCCAGTCGCCAAGGAGTAAGGTTGACCTCCGAACTTGCACTCGGCACCTTCTTCCTTTCCAGAGGCGATGTATGCCAGTACTCGATCAAATTGAGCCTTGTTAATCTGGGGTCCCTGGAAGGTCTCAGGGCTGAAAGGATCGCCGACCTTCGACGTCTTCTTAACTTCTTGAATAAAAAGATCCACGAACTTATCGTGGATGCTTTCATGCACCAAGACCCGGCTAGTAGCCGTACAGATCTGACCTTGGTTCGCCATCACGCCATAGTGACACCACTTGACGGCTTGCTCAAGCTCCGCATCATCAAAGATGATGGCTGGCGATTTGCCTCCTGTTTCGAGGGTGATGTTTTTGAGGGTAGCGGATGCGAGCTTCATAATCTCGCGGCCGGTCTGAGTTGATCCAGTGAAGGCGATCTTAGCCACATCCTCGTGCGCAGCCAATGCGGCACCTGCGGCGCGGCCATGACCATTAACGACGTTAATGACTCCGGGCGGAAATCCAGCTTCCTGGATAAGGGTTGCAAAGAGTAGAATGGAAAGAGGTGTCTGCTCTGCTGGCTTTAAAACGACGGTGTTTCCAGCAGCGAGTGCGGGGGCGATTTTCCAGCCAGCCATTCCCAGGGGATAGTTCCAAGGAATTATTTGACCACAGACTCCCAGGGGCTCTCGGGAGGTGTATGCGAACTTCTTATCCGTGGTATCAATGACTTCAAATTGTCAGCTAAAAAGCCCGTAGAAACAAATGTTGCCGTACCTTGACCGTGGAGTTTGTCGGCAAAGCCAGCATAGTACCGGAGGACGTCCGTCAGCTCGCCTACATCACCACATGCAGAGGAAAACCGTTTTCCTGCAATGATTAGCTCTCATGGTCCCAAGTGGTTGAGACTTGAGCCTTTGAACATACCGTTGTTCCATGTATCAATGGATGCAAGCGTTTTGGTGTGTTGTTCAGCCAAGTCGGCAAGTCTCAGCATGAGCTTTCCGCGATCCGTGCCAGAGACACCAGCCCAAGGTCCCTTGAGTGCAGCACGCGCCGCCTTTACGGCAACGTCTATATCACTAGCACCACCGGCATGGACTCTGGTGATCTGAGATTCATCGCTTGAGGCAAGTCAGCTCTGTCGCGTCGTTATCCTTCTGAAGGGATAGACTTACATGGGACTGATAACAGTAATTTCCTCGCCAGACTTGGCGGCAACCCACTCGTTGTTGATAAAAAGACCAAGTGGCTGCGTGTATGTAACGCCATTCGGCGTTGTGATTTCCTGGAAGAGCTTTGTGGTCATTTTGATGGATGTTAGAGCTGGATTGATCGTATCAGCGCTACGAATTCTCGGGCACCAAGGATATGTCGAAGTCAGTGTCTTTACACTTAACTGTTGATGGGCTGAAGACTTTGCTCGTCTCCACAACATCAGACGTTGTAGCAATGGTATGTTAAAAGGCTTTCGGGTGGCGTCCAACAGGAGCAGTAGGTAATCCACCGAGCCCGCAGTCTCCACCTCGCCTGCTGTCCGCTTCGGGAAATGTGATGGATTTGATTAGAAATACAGGAGCGGGAGCCCGTGATCCCACTGCCGTGTTCACATGGAAATGTTCCGAGGGAGGCTCATTCCTGCATGTTGTAACAATTACGGCCATGCAATAATCATTGCTCAGTTGCTGCTTCAGGTCTACACTGGTGGCTGGGGACCTAGCTGCACTGGTTTCCTGTGTAGATCGGCAGATTTAGGCCTCGACTACTAGACAAATGAAGTAATATGATTCTGCATTTGCTGCGAACCACTCAAGTCTACCAATGCTAACTCCCTATGACTCAGCCCATCATGATTGACCAGCCTTTCTCCAACATCAAATCTAGCCAAGACATCACGGTCCCCGCATCTCGCAACTCCCAAAGTTCAAGCAAAAGATCTAAGGCTCTTAGGTTTGAGCGGATATGATTTATCGAGTACAAGGCTCGAAAACGTTGTGAAACCAGCTCGCGCTCTTCATGGTCCTCAGCTGTGAGTTCAGATCCCGCTGTAAGTAGCGGAATTGCTTGCAGGTTTGTACAGGAGTGCGTAGGTGGAATAGAGGTCAAAGAACGAACTACTTGAACGGCTTGCTTTCTGATGTTCTCATCTCGGACTGAAGGATCCTCCTCTGTGTGAAACTCAGTGCCGGATCCAGGGGGCGGTGTCAAGATGGAAGCCATTAGTAAGGTTGGATCAATGTGTTGCGTGCTGAGGAAGTCATCCATATCGGAAGGGTCGGTCAACAACGCATGTCGTTTTGAGATAGCCAAGTTGATGAGACCGTGGATCTTGAAGGCTTCTCCAATCGTCACCAAAGCCTGATTGTCACCTTCAGGCTTCCAGCCAAGCAACATGTTCTCCAAATGGTTTTCTTCCTCGACGTTGCGTATGCCCGTATCACAGACGCGCCTACAGTAGCGACCAACGCTGCTCAGATGGTAATAAACCTCGGTGCAATAACCGCCGATCGGATGATATTCTGAGCCGGTTTGAAGTACGCCCAAAAATAGGTCAACGTTGTCGATGGGTGCCTGCTCCGAACTCGGGACGAGGAAGGCACATGCCATGTCCCAGTAGAGGTAGGCTCCGATGGTGAAGCCGAAGACGGATGGATTCTCCTCAGGCAGTGAGCTGTCAGCTAGCATGATGTCCACCAAGGCGCGTGCACCATAGAGATGCTGGAGACCGAATTGGGTGACGGGCCCTTCAATCCAGGCTGTGGAGAGACCAAGCATCAAGACGGTGAGAAAAACGGGGAACACGTCTTTGGGTGGGTTAGCAATTTCCCGCTGCACGAGCTGAATTGCAATGCCCCGTTCTTCCAGACACCGGGCCATTTGGGATGGATCGAAGAAGTGTTGGTGGGCTGCACTGACGCTCTGCAGCGCGTGGAGTAGGCTGGGAGATGCGTCCAGATGTTCCAAAATGGGGAAAGATAGCGGGTTGATGTCGGGATCGATGACCATGATTTGGCTAGCCTTTTCAAGCCAATATCGAAGAAGAACCTGGTCAGGGGCGTCGTTCCGCAAGTGTGACTTTGCTATCCACGGAGACTCCATCTGCCACGTCCGAAGCCGGGGTGCAGCTTCGCAAACTTGGCCGCGCCTCTGGCAATTGCGGCAGACAGGGAATGTCTCATCACACTTGACTCGGCGACGCTTGCACTCCGTGCACCCAGCGCGACTTCTGTGGTTCTTGGGCCCATTCTCCGCTGGAGATGAGGAACTCGATGAGGAACCGGTACTCCGGGTAGGTGAAGCTGCGGACGAGCGGCGCCGGCGGGGGCACTGTTCGGTTACCTCGGATTTTCTCTGATTTTGAGCGGAAAGTCGAGGGCCTGTGGTGATCTTGAACTTGATTGTCTTCATGATGATGGCTTTTGGTATGCAATAGATGGCAACAGACAGTTGAGCAAAAAGTCACAGGCTCATGAGGAGTCGCATTTTGAGGAAGGAGAAAGCAACCTAGCGCCGATCACCCAGCTGACTTGTTATCTCGGAATCGCAATGCTATGGAGCGTAATGTTGGTTCACTTCCCCGCATTGTGCCCACCAGCGTATCTCGCGTCTTGCCTCCGCGGCCGTCTCTATCGGATAGGAGAGGGGAGAGATAAAAGATACAAATAGCGCTTCTAAATGGCTCCGCCAGCCAACCGGAAGCCAGAGCTGTCAAGTCTCCACATTCCTGTTCTGGACAATACGCGGGGCAGGGATCCATGGATGGAAATAACGCCATCTTACAGTCTTGATCTTGTGGATTCAAGTCTACTAAGCTGATAGTTGTAGAATGGATCCTTCATGACGAAAGACTCGGCGAAATATAGCGGATGTCGCAGACTTCACGCCGTTTTATTGAAACTAAACCAGCGTCACTGGCTTCCCATCCGTTGAGATAAACACAGCCACATTATGAAAATCTTGGCTGAACTCGAAGTTGACCTTTGTCCCACGGGTGAAATAGACGACATCTCCCTTCTTAGCTGTGAATTTGTCCCCATCTTCGACATCACATTTGATAGTCCCTTCCGTTACGAAAAAGAACTCATCGCAAGGGTAGACCAGCGTTGCCTTTCCCTTCTCGTGCGCAGCTCCCGCCACGATCTGGCCATCATCTGATCGGTAGACTACAGACTTCTTCCCGTCGTACTCTGGGAATGGAACCCATTCAAATGAGTTCCAAGCCCCGTGAATTGCATTGGGTTGTGACATTTCTTTCAGTTAATCGTGTTTTCTTGGAGAAGGTGTTAGCTGAAGAGCATCACATCGTGAAAAGCACTCACGCAATTAAGTACGGGTTCCGGGAGATTGATGTTTGGATAGTAACAGTTTCGATGCCGAAGGACGAAATTTTAGGAAACATTCAATCGATATATAATGAGTGATTTTGTAGTCTATGAGTACCGATTCACCTTGGAGGCCCTCATGCATGACACTCGGTCTTGATTTGCACTGAAAATCATCCCCACACCTTGTATCGGCTGAGCCGTCGTATGAGTGCTGGTTTGAGTAAGGCTAATCTACCATACACAGGTATCGCGTCTGTTCCTGAAATAGTAAAAGTAGAAGCTTTGCAGCCCACTTTGAGTATGCGTGTAGATATGCTGCCCATTTATTCCCGTGACCAAAGCCAAGGCCGGATATTATCTACCGGCGGAAAAGATTGCCTGCTCATTTGAAATGCTAAATTTGAGATAATATCGGATGATTCTGCCGGTGCGATGAGGGGCTCTCCCCAATGACGTAGCGGAGCGTGGTCGGCTAATCAGCAAAATTGGAAGCTTGTACCACCACAATGTAAGCACGTCTTGTTCAAGTAGTAATCCACATCTCGGGTGCCTTTCAATTACGGTATCTGGAGTTAAGTGCAACACATCAACGCACCCTTCCGGAGGATCCCCAGATTGGGGTGTAACCAGGGGTCATGGGGCGGTGCGCGGCCGTTATCGCATGTGAATGTCAGTCCTCGAGTCTGGGAAATGTTCCATACAGCTTTACCTTTTAACTTTCGTCATTCACCTGAGAGCTCGATATCTTGGAGACCACACGCGGACACGAGCTATCTCTCGTCACCAAGACCTCAGCCGACGCAATCACTCAGGAGTCACTTCTTCCGCATCGAAGTTTTACTCTTCTAAGTTCTTACCGTCATGACACAGATCATTCAGGTCGACGCACTTGTTGTAGGCGCCGGCGTTGGCGGGATCTATGCCACATACCGTCTTGCCGATATGCACATGAACATCCAAACCATTGACATGGCATCGGACGTTGGCGGAACTTGGTACTGGAACCGTTATCCTGGTGCAATGAGCGACACAGAAACCTACCTTTACCGATACTCTTGGGACAAGGACGACCTTCAAACATATCCATGGACGCACCATTATGTTTACCAGCCCGAGATTCTTAAGTATCTGCAACACATCGTCAAAAAGCACGACCTGCGGAAGCACATGAAGTTCAACTGCGAGATGAAGTCAGCGACTTGGGAAAACGTCAGTCATCGCTGGCATGTTACCTGCTCCACTGGAGAGGTCTACCACGCACGATACTTGGTCAATTCCCTTGGCCTCCTCTCGAAGGCCAACTATCCCGACATTCAGGGCCTTTCAAATTTTCAAGGATCGCTGTTACATACCGCGAAGTGGGACGACACCGTTCAACTGGAAGGCAAGCGTGTCGGTATCATCGGCAACGGTTCGACTGGTGTCCAGGTAATGACAGCCATTGCCCCCAAGGTTGGCCATCTTGCTTCGTTTCAGCGTCATCCGCAGTACTCTGTGCCCAGTGGCCAAGGCCCAATCGCAGCGGACTACCGCAAGAAGGTCAACGAAGACTACGACAAAATTTGGAACAATGTCTGGTCCTCGACAGTCGGGTTCGGCGTCCCAGAGTCCACGCGCAAGACCATGGAAGCTTCCCCCAAGGAGAGAAAGGAGGCATTCGAAGAGGTCTGGTCAAAGGGTAACGGATTTCGCTTCATGTTCAGCGCCTTTGGCGACCTCACCACCGACGAAGCAGCCAACGAGGAGGCGTGCAGCTTCATTCGCGGCAAGATTGACGAGATCGTGGAGGATCCCGCCAAGGCAAGCGTTCTAAAGCCTAAGGAGCTGTATGCCCGCCGCCCGCTTTGCGACTCTGGGTACTACGAGATCTTTAATCGAGACAACGTCGACGTCATCGACATCCAAGCCAATCCGATCAAGCAAATTACGGATACTGGGATTGAGCTCACCGATGGCAAGATTCATGATATGGACGTCTTGGTCTTCGCCACAGGCTTTGACGCCATTGAGGGAAGTTACTCAAGAGTGTGCATTACCGGCCGGGATGGAAAGACGTTGAAGGACCATTGGAGAGACGGCCTCAAGGCCTACGGATCAATCGCCTGTTCAGGCTTTCCCAACATGTTCTTAATCGCAGGCCCTCAAGGCCCATTCGCCAACTTTCCACCCGTCATCGAAAGCGAGACGAATCTCATCATGTCTCTCATTGAACATGCGGAAGCTCTGGACTCTGGTCGCAAGACCACTCCCAACGGCATTACAAACGGCAAGAGCAATGGTACCAATGGAACCTCCAGAACCAGGCCTGCAATCATAGAGGTCTCCGAAGAGGCCGAACAGGATTGGGCAGATTTGTGCGACAGTCTGGTACAAGGATCGGTTTTTCTGAAAAGTCCGTCTTGGATTTTCAGTCGAAATATTCCAGGTCGCAAACCGAACACGAATTTCTACTTCGCGGGTCTCAGATCATACTTGGAATGGGTTAGCAAACAGACATCAGCCGGGTTTCCGGCATTCGCCCGGAGTTGGGATGCATAGTTCCTCCAGAAGGGGGTGCGGTCAATATCTTCCCTTAGACATTCAAGTGTGCCAGATCAATGGTTCAAATAACACTTCGTTCCGACGATATGACTGATCGACTGTGAGCTCCTTGTCTTGAAGCTGTAGGCAGCTTAAAACATCGATGAAATGCTCCACTGTCTGTGTGACGCTTTTCGCTCGGCACTGAATTCTCCCTAGACGTTACTCCGACACTCATTACGGTTTGAGAAGTCTCAGTTTTGCTATTACTCTTCTAGTAATTCCAGAAAGCAAGTTGTAGTAACGCGAATTATTGTGATTTCTCCGTCATAGGTAGACTACCTAGTCTAGGTTATGGTACCATGAGACTCTTAGATCTTGCTGGATCCCGGCAGTTCGAACAGATAATCCTCGGTTAATTTGACCACCTCCCGAGCAAGCCCAAAGCTGTATCCATAACCGCCTGCATTCTGGCCGTACGCATGAATGACTCTCTGTCCATCGATTGTCTCCCTTTCACAACGAACCCCACCGACCTTGCTGTCCATGGTGGCATAAAGTCCCACGTGGTCATAAATAATTGGCCAATCACTTGGATTCGGCGACGGAAAGACGTGAGGCTGGTTCAAATGCGCATTTCGGCAAATCTGGGAAACGTTTTTAGTTGTTACTCGTACTGAAGTCAATGTTCTTACTGTATTTCTCTGGTCCTCAGACACTGTAAGGCTTCGGTCTCCTTGTGTAAGAACACCACCGCAGTAGACTGTGCCATCCCCGCGAGAGAAGGCAGTTGAGTAGTAGCCCCCATGGCCTCGACGAATGAAAAGCTGATTGTAGGTATCCGGGGCCTTTGCAACAACACATTGGAGTCGGTTCATCACCAGGTTCTTCTCTTGGACATCTTCAAGTGTCTCAGCGCCGATTCCTGTGGCATTGATCAACACGTCGTGACCCAGGCCCTTCAAGTCAGCCAGAGCAGAGACTCTTGTTCGACGAAACTCAATGCCTCGCTTCTGTAAACGCTCGTAAAGCCAAAGAAGAAACTTCTGCGGGGTGAGGACGACTGTCTTGTATTCCATTCCGTATATTGCACCTTCGGGCAGATCCTGCCCAGAAAGAAAGCGGAAGCTCGGGACTTTGTGTGCATACCAGACGTCGGACTTTGACCCACGATCCATTATCTCTGTCATCTTCACCTGCCGTACACTGGACTCTGGGTTCGTTTCCGCCAGTTTCCAGAGGCCCATCAAACCTTCCAGCTGCATCGTCTGTTCTCGCGGGGCAGAATCGTGAACACCGACCCAAATTGCGCCTGCCCAAGGACTCGCCCATGCTTTGGTATCATAGTCCCCAGGGAGATATTCGGCGACAATGGTGATATCATAGTGGCGCGGAAGCGACCCTGCAATCATCATGCCCGTCACCCTTTTTTTCGTCGGTGTGAGTTCTCAAATCATGCCTTCATTGTGTGTACGGTGATTACCTACCCCGCGCCTAGAATCGTGACTTTGACCATGTTGCTTGAGTTCTTTGAGATCAGAATCAGAGTGAATGAGGTGTTGGTGATCTTCCGAGAAGCTGGGAATGCCCGATGGCAACTCTTCTGAATGCGAGTTCAATTACTTCAACCTGTTTACCCAGCTTGCTGCAAACGGGAGCATCAATGTCGACCAGTAGACCATCGCTACTGAACGCCGAACTTCGGCATTGGGATTGCTGTTTTAGGCTCTCAACCGAAGAACCCCTGAACCGAGCTTCCCTGCAATTGAACTAGGCTCGCCTGCGCACCCCGCTCTAGATCTAGACTCTGGAAATTCCGCCTATCGTCCCAGAAGGGAGACTTCTGAGACGTAATCCATCACGCCACTCTAGCTTGCATGGGCTTGGATATCAGTTAGAGCTAATCATGTCTTGATGCATTTGAGATAGTGTATTTGGAGATTATGCGTCGTGCATCCATGACCCGTGAAAGCTGCGATACTATCCGTCAGGAAACGGCGATTTGCAGGAAGGTGGATGCAGCTACAGATAGATTAGGTTTGATGAATCCGTTGCTTTCAATGGATTTCCATTACGAATATCATTTTTCACACCTCAATGTCCCAAATTTCCCCTTCTGGCCAAGGTACAAAGCCAGAGATTGCTACCTGGCATTGCAGGTGAACCATCAAGCGGGGAAGCCTAAGCCGCCTCAGGTCTGATTAGTCTAAAGAATTCACACTGTTAAAACACTTTTGTTTGATTTCATTCCGAGACATTTCACATCACTATCTCCGAGGAACGAAATTCTAGTCATAATGTGAGGGCAGTAAGACACTTTTGAGTATATCATGGGCTAAGTAGGCCGAGGCTATCGCAACCAATTATAACCTCAACACAACCTCAGGATATGATGCAAGTAAAATGGTTTTTCCAGCTTGAGCTACATTCTCGCTCGACCAATAATCCTACATTACAACTTCGGCGATATTGAATCGTGAACGTACTGCTCCACAAGAGTTGCTACCTTTTGACTAGTGCCAAAACTAAAGCAGTAACCTCCAGCCTCTTGTCCATAGGCATGAACCACCTTCTGTCCGTCAACAATCTCCTTGTCTATCCTAGCCCCTCCTCGATCCATAGGGCGAAAATGATAGGTGTTACCGATGTCATACTTGATAATGTAGTCACTGGGATGAGGAGAAGGCAGAACTGCGGGCAAAAGTTGATGTCCCCGTGAGAGAATCTGAGAATGCGAAAGTTAGTTTGGTTGTGGCTAAAATCAGGATGTGCAAGAGTCTTACCGTCTCTCTATCGGCAGCATAGACCGTTCGGTCTTCGCTGTTGAGCAACTTGATGCCGCCAACATATGTGGTGCCATCAGGTCGTCCGAACATATTGAAGTAAAACCCATGCAGGCCCCGGTAAATGTAACACTGATCCCAAGTCTTGTCCAATAGAATAGACTGAAGACGATATGGTACGAGCGAGGTGTCTCGAACTTCCTTCAGATCCCGCACTCGTGCCCCAGCGGCGTTCACCAACACATCGGATTTGAAGATCTTCAAATCTCTGAGCGAAGTGATACGTGCTCGCACAAATCGGACCCCCTTGGCCTCCAGTCTAGCTCTCATCCATGTGAGAAACACCGGCGGCGAGATGCAAACTGTCGTGTATTCCATACCAAAAACTGCTCGGGGAGGCATCTCTGATTTGTCAAGCAACCGGAAGTCGGGAACATAGTGCCGGTACCAAATGTCCTCCGGAGAACCGTATTCAAGGATTTCGGTCATCTTCGTCATCCTGACGCCTGACTCCGTTTTAGGGTACGTCCTGGCAAGCTTCAAGAGAACTGCAAGAGAGTCCAATTGAATTTTCGTATCCTCTTCACTCGACGTGTGCACGCCAACCCAGCAGGCTCCAGCCCATGGCGAGGCCCAATCCGTGGTAAGAGCGTCTCCGGGAAGAATGTCCCCCACAATCGTTACATCGTGATGAGTGGCAAGCTGACTAGCAATAGCCATGCCCGTGACACTAGATGTTTGTTAGCATGACGTACTTGATAGGCAGAATGTTGCTTACCCGGCTCCAAGAATCGTGACGGAAGCCATTTCGAGCGACGCTGAAGATTGAGTGTTGGAGAGTTTTCCAGACTTAGGATCGCAAACTTGCACCTGGTCGTTACGGTAAGTTTAACTCGACCTCACTTTTATGGTGTTGAACCGAAAGGTGGTGTTCGGAATTCAGCTCCAAGCCAGGATTCCGCAACTCCGTGAAGTGGAGGCTCGAGGGATCCAGCACCCCACTTGAATAATTACCGTTTTGGGACGATACGCGAAGCTAAGATGAAGGTCCGACGATAAGTCAATCATGACATGACACCACCGATTGACAAGACTTTTTGCTTTCTGTGTAGTTTAACAGATATCGCTCCATATCCCAAGATATGTCCACTAGTCGTTGCGTGGCACATCACCCTCCATAGCCGACATACACAAAGACAACGACGCCTTGTGAGCTGTGTCAAAGAATTGATTTAGGAAATTGACCTTGGAAAGGTTAGATCTACTGATACTGTCATATTGATACTAGATCTTGAAGAATTATAGAATTAGACAATCTAGAATCCGTTGATAGATGACAAGAGTATGACGGATTATCTTTGTGATGAATTACATGGCATATTTCTGGAAGAACTGCTCCAGCGTCATCGGCTTCAAACTAATGTTAGACTGTCGTGCCTCTGCTGCAGCCTTTTTGAGAATACGAGCATTCTCATGATCTGTGGGCATTCCGTTGAAGAAATTTCCCTCGATAGCTTGCATGAGATCGAACAGGCCATTGACTTCCTTCGTCTTGAACTCGTCGGCTGCACTGAGACCACCGGTCTTAACTTCCTTGTATCGCGCAGGCTTGCCAGTAACTACATGATCCCGCAAGTTTTAGTCGCTGAGTTTCTGGCAAATTGTTGCAGGTTGCCTCACCTTCTTCAAACTTAGCTGTCATTTCAGCGAAAGATGATGAGTCCGACACGCCATGGATGTAACAACCGTTCCATCTCTGGGGATCCAAGAAGACCCCATGGACGAAATCACCGTAATCATCCGCGACCGCCAACCATGGCACGGACTCGGGATTATTTCCCATGGCTGGCGTCTCCCAGGTCAGGTAGCCTTCTGCGTCTTTGATCATGGCAAACCCACCGAAAGCGGCCGTGTACTTTGGATCGAATGCGTTTTCGAGAAACCATGCGGCACTCACAATTGCCGCCGTCTCAAACTTTCCCGGCTCAAGTAGATATTTAGATATAGCCGATTTGTCTCACTTAAGGTTAGACTCATATCTCAGCACATTTTTTGGTATCTTACCGTCAAAGGCCAGAACTGGAACCTCGCCTTTAGTCAACTCGGATGCTGCCGGAAGAGAAGCGTGAACAGCATGCTTGACACCAGCCTTGACAGCAGCGTCCACGATTCCCTTTCCCATTTGAAGCTCTGAAGGCCCAATGCGTTGCTTGAAGTTCTGTACACCGGCTAGTCAGTTTTGGGAGATCCGAGTTACCGTATTACTCACAGGTGCGTCTGAGTCAATATTGATGAAGACGCCCCAGCACCCCTTGAAAGCCTCGATAAGCTGATCAGTCTCCCAGCAATCGGCTTGCACGACATCGATCCCAGAATCAGCGAGCTTCTTTGCCTTTGCAGAGCTGGGATCTCTCGAGATAACCCGCACACGAAATTGTGGGTTGTCATGCAGTGACCTAGCCACCGAGCTTCCTAGGTTTCCTTGGTGAATGTCAGATATTGCGTGGCCGACATGTAGATGGTTAGTTTCAGGACTTGCCTGTGCCCCCGATCACAGCAACTATTTTCAAAGTGTTGGCGTCCATGTTGCTTAGTAGACTTTTAGGGTGAAGGTGCAAAAAGACAAGGGGAGGTTGACTGCAAAGCTTTTCTTGATGATGTTAGGAACAATTCTAAAGCCTCTACAGCTAGGATTTAGATGATCTTTGTCGTTGATGTTCGCTTATGGGAATTTCGATTTATCAGCATTGGTAGGCTGATCTATCTACCAGTCTTTTCAAAAGCGTGACTCCGCTACAACGTTCGCCTGGATAACTGAAATGGTAAATGTCGCATGCGGAGAAGCAAATAGCCCCTCAGCTCGATCGATAATCAGACATGCCCACGCGGGGCGTGTGATCCGCACCAGTGACCCACCACTTCCCGTTTGAGCCGCTACCCGAGCCATGCACATCATCATGCTTGATTCAAATTCACGGGACGAAAGACCATTTTCAGTTTCTCTGCATGGTTTTGGTCGTCTATCGTTTTGGCATCTCAAGCACCCAAGATGGCTTTGAATAACTTGGCCTCAATGACTGTGGTCGCGGTGTTTCTATTCATTCTCTACAAATTTGTTTACCAATTCTTCTTATCACCGCTCGCCAAAATACCAGCGCCTCACTGGAGTTGTCACGTAGCGCCTTTCTGGTATTGGTGGGCGCAGCTTTCACACAATGAGAACCGACGCGTCTACGATGCCCACATGCAAAAGGGGAAGGCCTTGCGGCTTTCTCCAGGAACATTGAGTCTAAATTGCTTTGATGGTGGCCTCAAAAGCATCTATCTTGGTGGGTTCCCGAAAACAGAGTACTATTTCAGAGGTTTTGCAAACTACAAGTAAGGCAATCATCAACCATGCTCAGATCAGAATATGGAAAGCTAATATGTTAGCCTTCAGCACCCACAACATTTTCACATTTGAGGACAATGCTACCCACTCAGCCCGCAAGAGAATCATCTCGGGAACCTTCTCAAAGTCCTTCATCCTTGCAGACCCATCAAGCAGGGCCTCTATGAAGAAGGTTCTATACGGCAGGCTGTTGCCAATGATCGACCGTGCTGCTCATGGAGGGGATGCCCTGGAGGTTTTGGAGCTCCTATACTCCTACTCTATGGACTCCTTTGTGGCATGGCAATTCGGTGGCTCTCTCAGCAGCAACCTCATCGAAGATGAACAAGAGCGGCGTCTTTACCTCGACGGATTCTTCGCCGCAGCTCCCTACACTTTTTGGCAATATCGGTTTCCGCTGCTCAACTCTCTGTTCAAGGCGGTCGGGCTGATTCCTAAAAAGGTCGACAGCGGATTCAATGATATTCTCCGCTGGAACCTCGAGAAGTGCGACAAGGCACAAGAACTTCTGGCCCAAGGCGAGCAAAAGCTGTCCCCTGAGAACAAGCCCGTTGTTATGGCTCTGGCTCTTCAGGCCATGAGTGATCCGGAGGCAAGACCTGGCAAGTATCCGCAGCGTCTCGAAATTGCCAGCGACATGTTTGCTCACAATTCAGCTGCACATGAGACCAGTGGAAATACTCTGGCCTACTGCATGTACGAACTTTCGAAGAATCCGGAGATTCAATCCAAGCTGCGTGAGGAGCTCTTGACCCTCGATACTCCTCTGATCTACCCGCCGGAGGACGGACTCGATAACCTGATCCTCCCAACGGCCAAGAGCATCGACAATTTGCCGTACCTTGAGGCCGTGATTATGGAGACCCTGCGACTGTATCCCTCAGTTCCGGGCGGTCAGCCTCGAAGAGTGTCCAAGTCTTGTACGCTTGGCGGTCACAATGACATTCCACCTGGCACTACGGTTCAGTGTTATGCCTGGTCACTCCACCGCACCCCCGAGGTATTCCCCGAGCCAGATGTCTGGAAGCCAGAGAGGTGGATTGAATCGTCACCGGAACAGCTCAGTACTATGCGCCGATGGTTCTGGGCCTTCGGTAGCGGCGGTCGCATGTGCATTGGTAGCAATTTTGCCTGGTTTTGTGAGTTCTTCTTGCCTCCTGTACATCATCAGGTTGCTAATACATTTGTCACAGCCATGAAGAACGTTATTGGTACCGTTTATACCAACTACACGACCACCATTCACCATGCCGGCGACATGACGCTGCAAGATGCTTATCTTGCAGGTCCCACTGGACACCATTTGGAGCTCATGTTCCACGCAATAAAGCGATAGGTTTAGCTCCCAAAGACTGCATCAATCACCCTGGTAGCCAAGGCGAGACCTCTGTGTGTCTCTGCTTGTGCAGATGGGATGCAACACATCTCAGTAGCCAGGGTAACCACGCTGTTCTCATACCACCAATAGCTTCAAAAGATTGCTGTTACTCTATAAGGATGACATAATTTGCCTTGCATCATCCCCATGACGACTTGATGCCGCGAACCCTTCCACACTCGTTGGGCTCGCCTGATCCACGCTAAGACCCGTAATTGGTGTATTCCTTAGCGTCCTCGTTGAATCGCCTGGCCGTGCTTGGGCCATATTCTTTGGTGCCTCTCGCCTTATGGCTCGAAATGATTTTGGGATCCAGTGGCGTAGCAGCTGTCGCGTAGCAGGTAGGCTAGCAATTATCACCCCGACGGATATCTCAATGTAGCTCCACATGTGAAGGTAGAATGCATCCTCTGATGGGTGGTATCAAGTCAGTCCACTTGAACGATTCACTTTCATGAGTTTTGAGGTGCGGAATGACTAACGTGTGGGGTTCTCGAAATTCCGGAGATTCAACAATACAGTAAGTCGAATGATGCTAACGGCTGTGATGCTGCATAACAATCCTGTTAGTTCTAGAAGTTCCGTGCGATTCCTCGTATTAGTCCCATGGGAAGACAAGCTGGTCTGACTTACAAAATTCCAATGCCAAACATGGCCAAAATCTCTGCCTTTTCTCGCCATCTCAAGTTCAGCCGAAGCACCTGGGTTGACGGCAGCACAAGCATCCATACGTCCAGACCGATGTTGACAGCTGCATGAGTCACGATCATGGAGAGGATATTGAGGCAGAATCCTTCATGGCGGCCATCCCACCCCTCCCATGCGAAACTGAGTGGTTGACACTGTGCTATTGTTGGGATCGTGAAACCAATGAACGTTAACAGGTTGAACGCTTGGGTACACCACAGTATGGTGGTGAACGGCGAGCTGAACCCGCCAAAGACTCTCTGGTAGAAGAACAAAATTGTTGCTTTGAGAGCGGCTATTGCGAGCGTGTATACGTTGGCGAACGCATAGAATATCTGACAAAAATTAGCGTTTTCATGCCCATGAATCAATGCGATTCAACCCAATCATGGACGAATCAGCTCAGGCTCACCTTCATGAATTCGACAATAGTGTCGTATCTCAGTGTCCAGAAATCAAGCCCAAACCCGAATCTGCGCCCTAGTAAAAAGCGTGAGTGATATTTTGATTTGTCTCGTTTCCCACTGGCTAGGTCAAGAGTCACCTATGAATTTCATGACACCGAATATGATTGCTGCTGCCTGGTGAGATTATCTTCACATCAGTCAAAGTCGTAACAGTCGATGAGGTGATGGCAGTCAGCGTACGAATCCGATCACGATAGTAATATCATCGGCTCCCCATGGTGTCAATCTGATTGCCTTAGCGAGCATTCGCAAGCAAAACACAACCACAGTCAAGGCTAGTAGAAATGCGCTTGCTCCGAGAGCTTCTGCAGTCTGGCGTGGTGGAACCCCACAATGCGTGAGAGTTACGTTGCGAGCAGCTGGTAGCTTTATCAGCTTCGCATACTTCTCGAAAGGGAGTTTCCATGATGACTATGTCAGGGTTGGGTCTCACTCAGTCCATCAAAAGGAAGACACTCCTTCATCACACAACCACCGAAAGCATGCTGCCACTCCACTTCTGGGCATAGACATGAAGCTGTGATGTTGTTGGGACCGCAAGGGGTCAGATCGACGGTCCGATTGGCGCATGCTATCTACGAAAGGACAGATTAATGTTAGAACTGCACGTGACAGAAGGGTAATGGACTTTCAACTTACGGCACAGCTGGGGAGGCCATCATAAAACATGAGATCCATGGGGACGCATCGATCGCGACGTATTCAGCAGGTGCCAATGATTTTCTTTCGGGTAATAGGCCCGGCTTTTCAGGGTGGAAGGGGGTGCCGCAAGGGGGGTCAAGGCGTTTATGTTTACAGGCGAAAAGCCATTTTCAATCTGAATTCCATATTGGCGGCATTCCAATGCTCGGCGAGACTCGCCGCTGCTGCAAACTAGCATGTGGCTCGCTGGTGGCACTGCCGTTTGCGGCAAATAAGCTGCCATCAACTGTGAGACACCTTATCAGAGGGCAGACATTCTGCGTATTAGCGGGAACGATAACACAATTTCAACCCAGCGATCTGGAAACATTCCGTGGCGTATTCGGCGTTATCGGCGTATCGCACTACCAAAAGTGTTGAAAATAAGCGGTTGACATTGTTTTGTCACAACAAGCGCTTTCTCAAATTTGAGGAAGAAGTCTGAGATGGAATATTTTGTTGCCAAAAGCCGCCCTCTGAGCTTTAGAAGTTCATTCTCTTCGCTACCTATCCAGGCAGGCATTGAGCGCAGACAAAGTCGGAACAGCGAGGTTCTGTCCTCATTCGCAGCGTCAAATACAACCCGGCACTGCGCCGGTAAGATGAGACATTACCGAAGCCGCCACGTGCCACACCTTGAGTGATGAAGTGAATGACGCTGTCAATCCAAGCCTCTGCGTTCTTGGCGCTTAAGAAATCCGCCAATTGCTTCCCTCACGATTTGGACGACGCCCCATTCACCGGCTTACCAGCCACATATCATTGGCGATCTGGAACGGCGGACCGGATCCTTTCAATGAATATTGAATAATAATCAGTCCGACAGTCGCTGTTTTGAAACTGATGAGCTCGATGCATTGGGATTGAGACGTGTTCGTGAACTCACTAAGATCTAGTAATCGCAGCAGTAAGGGAGGTTGCCAGTTCCGCTGTTGGTGCAGCCCTGACAGAAGTTGCTGCAAGCGTGCTCGTTGACGAAGCAAGCGTGGGAAGCGACGGCGGTGGAAGCAAGGCCAAGGGCTAGGATGATGGCAGAGAAGCTGATCTGCATGATTGCGGTGTTTGATGGAAGATTGGCGAAGAGATTGAGGAATCGAGTTGAGATTGATAGTTGAAGCTGTGAGTTGATCTGGAAGAAGGGCGCTTTGAGATTATTTATCTACAGACAATGCAGCATGTATTCGTAGCCCGCCTGCAGTTTCCTGGGGTGTAAGTGGGATGTTGTCACTTGATCGAATTTGATCTCACGATTCCTCGGATCTTCGAGCCGCCTCATACGATTTTAGAGAGTTGCAGCCGCAGAACGCAAGCTGGTTGGAAAGGTCTTGGGCAATATTGAGTCAGATAGATTGAACGGGGGATAGATACTTGGTATCCCACCGGTTTGGTGGACTTCATGCAGGCAACATGCACAGCCAAATTTCAAGTTGCCGTAAATCGAATGTCAGGCAGCATTGAATACCAGCATGATGCTTTCTGCTGGACAAGAGCCGAATATTTACCGTCAATGGTCATTGACGCAGGAATTAGTTCTCGGGTATCGCCGTCGGGGCAAACCGATGGGATGAACTTCCCGCTGAGAATATCCCAACGGGATGGAACCTTTGTGACACTGACGTCATTCATTCCCACCATAACAAGGACGCAGTCAGACTGATTGGAGATCACGGTTCACGAACCTCACTCACCCAAGCCTAGACCTGGAGACTGGATTGCATGTTTATCTCTTGATACTTTGTATCTGCGAAACCTCAACTATGCATCCCCAAACGTAACATCAGTAACAACAGGGCGGTGGTCGGAAATATACAGCCCGTCGTCAAACTTATTCGGCAACACTGCGTGGGTGAGAAATTCCATCCCTCTCGCAGTCGGATCCCTTACAAATAAGTGATCGATAAGGCTGTCGTCCGACTCGTCATCCGTGAACCCCGTGTAAGTCTTTGAATATCCAACTCGATGCGCTTCAGGTGTCACGTCAAGCGTGTCGTGCATGTTGCCCTCTGCAATCAATGTCTGGTAGGCGGGATTGTCAGGCTCGATGTTCAAGTCCCCTCCCAGAAACACAGGCCTCACTTCATCAGCCGCAGACTCCAATTCTTTTGCCAGATCAACCAGGAATGCCGCGCTGTTCTCGCGTGCAATTTGACCAACGTGGTCGAAATGGGTGCACATAAAAACCAGTGGAAAGCCAGAGCCGACATGCGTAAGCGAGGCGACCGTAACAATTCGCGGGAGAGCCGCGTCCCAGCCCACAGAGCCGGCGACATCCGGAGTCTCACTCAACCAATATGTGCGGTTCTCCACAAGGTCCCACGCTCCCGGCTGATAGAAGATCGGAGAGAACTCCCCCGCCGCAACGCCGTCATCGCGGCCGACACCGATGTGGGACCAAGAGGTGCCGAGGTCTTCGGCAATGTCCAGCAGTTGTTCTTCAACCACCTCCTGCATGCAGACGAGGGACTCGGGCCGTCCGGCGGTTTCGTAGTTGAGCTGCGCCGTGAGACGGGGCCGACGGACGGACCAAAGTGCTTCATTGGTACCCGGAGTGGGTGTTGCCCAGCGGATGTTGTACGTCATGAACCGAATGAAGAGGTCGGATGATTGGGCGTATGCGCCGATAGCTCCGAGGAGCACCGCAGCGGCTGAGACGGGCTTCATTCTGCCTGTCACGAATCAAGTGCAAGAGGCCTGGCTGGCTTCAGCGCAATGATCCTCATTTTGCCTCTTTTTTCTATTGTATTTATATCTCTCTTCATCAGAGCATTCTTTTTGTGACATCAGTTCACAACATGAAGTGAGGGGAAGTTGCATTTCGATTCCTGCCGGCCTCTGCTCATTCACGCGGAGATCGTCACATTCGTCCTCCAACGCGCATATTTTTCGACCAACAGGGTTAGTCCTACTGTTCCTGCCGTCCAGCACCCGCCATTGGTTCAGCGGCATTCACACACGTTGACTGAACGGTCGACTTGGCCGGCTTCACGTGGGGGCCGAAAACCAGTCAATTCGCCGACGCAGTGATCCGCCAAGAAACATTTCATTTGGATCGCAAACTGTAAACATTCACACCGCTGAGGATTTTCGGAGAATATTTCGGGTCAAAGTTGAGTTTCGGTAGCGTGGTGAACCGACATTTGAGGATTTTTATAAATACCCATGCCGTCTCTCACTACCCTTTTTCTCCTTAGTGAATTCTGCGGAAAAGTCTTTGCCGCATGTTGGGTTCCCCGCCCTCAGGGGAAAAGACTTACCGTAAGCGGGAAGGGGCGATGCACGTTGCCGTCATCACAGCCGTCAATATTGGTTCGCCTAGGGTTTACGGGAGATGAAGGCCTCGTCTAACCCGCCAAGTTTTGAAGGGTTTATTTCCAGACGGTTGGCAATTTCATACTTGCGGTAGTTTATCTGGTTCATGTCAAAACTGTCATCCAGCATGAATTTCTCCGGTGGCATGTGAATTTTCAATGCCTCCTTGGCATTTCCAAAAGGGATATTTTGCCCAATGTTGCGGCTCTCACAATCTTGCTAACGTCGCAATGAATAAACTCCAAATTGTTACTGGACAAGGGCTCGTGACTCCAGTGCGAAAGTCTTGGGTCGGCTATCGGATCTGCACTGTTCGCACTGACAATGGGCAACGATGGCGACGATGACGAGCCTCTCGGACAACTCGCCGCGACTCTATTCGATAATTCTGTGTGGATTTGGGCCAAATACGAGTCAAGTCACGATCGGTCTCACAGCCCACATTCCCGATGGCACTGGGGCGGTGTTCAACACGGCTGGAAATGTCAAAGCGCCAGGGGCCAGGACAAGGTCTCACACGTGTTGTAGAGAGATCCATCGGCCGCGGAGGGCGGAATGATGGATTTTCTGCCTCTTCTGCCCCCCTGGCCATGTGGAGGTGGTTGTCAAAAAAGCCCACAAGATACTAATACGTAACAATCTCGCCACCTAATTGGCCACCGAGAGGCCTCTCTTTTTTATGTCGTGTGGTCAATGCCTTATTTTGATTAATTTCATCCTGGCACGCCTGGAAAACGCGCAAACAGGCATGGAGAAACGTCGCATCACTCATGGATATTGTACAAGATTTTATACATTAGTGCTCTAATCTGAGCGCGAACAGACACCGGCTCGACATCGGTTCCCTACCGGCTCGATCCAGACCGGCCAGTCTTCAGACTGGAGTCCGTCTCGATATCGACCGTGTACGTGAACTGCTTGTGGATACCGCCGCCCTTTTGGTTGTTCGGCAGCAGGTCTCCTTTGTCGGAATCGCCATCCTGGAGGCGTTCCCAGCTGTCATCGCCCCTCCCATGCACAGTGGCGAGACTGAAGCCCACATCTGTTGGGTTGCGGTACGGGTCGCGGCTCCTCTCGACAGGCTTGCTGCCAAACGTGAACAGCCCACCCGTTCCGTTGCTTTTGCTGGGTGCGGAATCTTCGGCGGTCGTGCCGCGTGTGCGTGCGATGAAGCGGCGCAGAGAGGGGACCGAGGAGGCGATGCAGCCAATGCCTGTCTCGACGTTGGAGCAGAGGACTGTGTGGGCGACCCAGACTGGATCGTGTCAGCTTGATGAAGGGGACGAATATCGTGGATGGAAACCTACACTGGAGGTTCGTCTGGGCCTTGAAGTGGTTGACGTAAGGAATGCGGACCATCGTGATGATCGACGCCCTGAAACCAAGTTAGGTGTCATGCAATGCAAGATGGAATCAGAGGGAGCACTTACACAGAAGCGAAGGACAGCAGTCCAAAGACTTGCAGCTTGGTCTGCGTCTTCATCTGCGTTCCCCACAGAATGACAGCAGGGACGACGACAAGAGCAAGATCTGTGACGATTGCGGAAGAGGTGGCCACATGCCCGATGGCAATGAGGACGTCGACATCAGCGCAGGTTCCCTCGCCGGAGAGAATCATCGTTGGCGTCCATAGAGCTTCGACGGGTCGGCAGTAAAGAAGCGTTCCGATGAACGTGATGAAGAAAGAT